AGAACCAAATATACTGTTTCAGGTCTAAAGAAATGGAAGAACATAAAACGAACAAGGTATTCAACACTAACCTTCTGTTTGAGTTTGAACCACGGAACTCAAACCGATTCCTAAAGGTGTTGACCCGCCAGGTGACAAGGATCCAGGAGAGCTACTTAGAGGGCGAGGATTCATAATACCTCTGGGATAAGCCAATGGATAAGGGAGACTACGAACAGGGGGATAACCAGAGCCCATGTAGTTTGCTGGTGGCAAAGGAAAGCTTCTACGGGCCAAGCGAGGTGGCACAGAGTCAGGTGAGGTTCTTTGCAACGGGTTGCTATTACCTATGTTGGGTAATGGAGCTTGGTTCTGAATTGGTGGTAGCATGTAACCATAAGTTCCAGGAGCTTGCTGTGGAAATGAAAATGAGTTTGAATGAAAACAGATGTTATAGGTTGAAGTAAAAGAATACTAGGCTTTGCTTACATGATAACCATATCCGTTATACGGTGGAGCATAACTCATGGGTAATGCTCCAAACAATGAGGGGTTTGTAGGATCAGTGTTAGCTAACCGAGCCATGTGTGACTGCGCCTTCTGAAGTCTTCTTGTATGTCTCTCCCTTTCTGTGTCTGCCCATTTGACCACTAAAGGAACAGTTGAACCCTAAGAAGAAGTAAACAAAAGAAAATTGATGAAAGTGTACACAAGGGGAAAGGTAAGTTTTCAAAAGTAGCAAAAGCAACTCACCTCCATTTTATGTTTTCCATTGATTTCTTCCATGGCAGAAACAGCTTGTTCTTTGGTCTCATACTTAAGAAAAGCACAGCCTAACAAAAAACCCGCAAAAGGTTATCAAAACAACAGAGAGAAAAAAAAACAAAAAGCAGAAGACAGAATACAAAATACAAAATACAGAGAATGGGTTTAACCTTTGCTTGTTTGTTGAGCACCACGAAGAATCTGTAGATCCTTAATCGTCCCGTACTTGGAGAACAAAGATAGAAGTTCAGCTTCAGAGACATTCTTTGGAAGCATGCCGACAAAAAGCTTGTGCTCTGCATTGTCGAATACAGTACAATACATCAATAAACTGTAGAATACAAGAGTAAATAAAAGAATCACATAGTGAAACAACAACGAATCGCATTACCTAGCCTTTCCAATTCGCCATCTGCATACTTTACTTGCAATAGACTGGCTGCCTGAGAAACATTAGAAACAAAACTAAAGCAAATTAGAAGAAAAAAACGAATTAACAACTGTCAAAGATGAACAAACACAAGGATTCATCTGTAAAGCAGTCACAACTCATAGTGTTGCATATATTGTGACAGGAATTATTCAGTTTCTCATAAAAACTGTTCTTGAAAGTTTTAAGTCAGCCCATATATATCTCACTTCTAGCAATTTACTAGAATATCCAATTGGTTTAAGTTTCTTGGGGTTGAAGACATCAAACTCAGACCAATGTCACAAGATTCAGACAAAACTGACCCTTAGATTCGATTCTGATTCGGGAAAGGCCTTAATACAGAAAGGAAACGCTCTGTGGAAAGCATGTATACAAATCACAAATTGCCTATTCTGGAAATTAAACAGAAACCCAAAACAAGTACAATAGTAAATTAAAAAAAAAAAAAAAAATTCCTCGAGACTCTAAAACCTGACTCTGAATAAATGTGAAAATCCAATTATTAGAAGCTACAGAGCATCATCATAAATCAAATTCAAGAATTTGAAAAAACTTATTCCCAGAAAAAAAGATTCAGAAATAAATAAATAAAAAAACACATACACCAGGTAACGTCTTCTTGTTATGACAAGCATTGACCAGCTTATCTGCTTCTTCTCTCGATGGACATATTACAAAACAACATCCTGAATCACGAGGAGGACCAAAACAAAAGGTTAGGGTTTCGAATAATTCAAAATAAATCTCGAGGAATCACATTGAAAGAGAAACAGAGGATGAATAAACCTCGAGAAGCGCGTGTGATCTTGTCCTTGATGATGTTAACCTCGTCGACGACAGCAAACTCTTGAAACAATGCAAGGAGTTGAGATTCCGACATATGTTTTGGAATTTGTCCGACGAAAACCTTAACGCTCTCTTCTTCTCTTTCTCCTTCATTCTTCTCCCTATTTTCTTCCGCCATTGTTGTCTCCGTCTTCTCCTTCTTCTTCTCTCTCTCTCTCTCTCTCTGTCTATTGACAAAATGGTCGTCTCTCTCTCTCTCCTGTCGTCTTCTCCTTCTCTCTCTCTCTGCAATTTTTTTGTTTCTGTAAAAATTATTTATTTTTAAATCAATTATGAAGGAGAGGAAGAAAATGGTGGAATTTTGAAAAGCTGGAATTAAACTAAAAATGCTGACAACCAAATATAAACCCTTTCTGTTACGACTTATTTACAATATTTGCCATTGACAGCTGTACAAGGGGGAAGGCGAAGCTTTATGATGCGAGGAAAACACTTGGGATTGTTTTGTCTTGTTATGAGAATGCGTTCCAATTTACCATTTCACCCTGCCCGTTACCCGCGTTGTATGGTTGTTTTTTCTGTTTCTCTCTCTTTCTCTCTCTCCTTTTATTATTTTGAAATAGATAATTGTATAGTCAAACTTGTTTACCTTTTTTCCCTCTTTCTGGACATCAACTTGTATTGTTTAGTTAAAAATGGAGGGGAAGCTGTCAGTTTCTTACAACCAAATGTATAATTTTTATAAGGCTGAGATTCCCAAAACTCTTATTGGATAATTAAATATAAAACAAAAGGTCATCATGTACTTTACTGAATATTTTGTTCAGAACCTTAGCTTTCAAATAACTGTTAAACCTACATTTACTATTACATCCAGTCTAAAATCTTTAAACGAAAACGTAAACCTGTCAAATCATTTGTAAATTGTCAAAAACATATCAGTAATATAAAGAAATATGTGCATGATTTCACCCAGTGTCTTCATAGTTTAAAGTAACATAAGATACAAACAATATGCAAACACTACGAAATAAACCATCTTCATTAAACATTTTTCACATATAAAATCAGATTTATCACCACCGTTACTCTTTTGTAAAACACATATAAAAAATCAATTTGGTTGATTTAAATCTAGTATCAATGATACTTTTATTGAAAACCTTACCTATGTTTTCTAATGTTTGGCAAAGTACTTGCTTCACTAATTAATTGAGATGCAAACTCAAACCAAATCAATAATATCAAAACTAAAACTAAACCAACGTTCACAAAATCCAAATGGTTCTTTCTATAGAACTAAAAACAAAAGAAAATTAAGGATAAAATGGACATCGAATCTCTATATTACATGTTATATTTTTAAATAACCAATAGCCTAAAAATGTTATAGATAAACTGGATTAACAAAAAAAAATTGGTTATCCAAAATGTAATTTTATTCAAAATATTTTAAATTATCTTATTTTTTGATATTTTAAAAGCAACCGAATTATCTGATATTTTAATAAAAAACATAGAACATTTTTTACATGTATTATTTAAAAACAGAACTGATTCGGATCCGATTTTTTGGATATTAGTTATTTGAATAACTGAACATATAACACTTTTTACATGCTTCCAACTTTGTTATCCAAATCAAAAACCAAAATAATCGAATTGAAATCAAACTGAATTTATAAATACACAAACATTTTCTAAATCTCTAAATTAAAATCAAATCAGAACTAATGTGAACTAAATTAGAATTGAACCGAGAATCGAACGTTCATGTCTAATCAAAATAAATGATACACTAATTAAAGCTGGTAACCAGCAACTTTGTACCCTAAAATTTCAACATTTGCAGCTGTTTTCTCTAAACTAATCAACCTCTAACTCTTAATTATTATAGTTGATAAATTCCTTTATAAAAGTGAAAAGAGCTCGCTTTTAAAACATTTTTTAATGTAAATGGATAAACGCGAAAAGAGTTTGACCGTAGCTCTCAATGAAAGAGGTAGGTTTCTAGGATCACAACTGAAACATCAATGACTTAGGGCAAAATGGTCAGATCAAATAGAAAGAATGGCAAACTCGTGATTAAATCGTAAACCAAGGGACAAAACATATGCATGACAGACTGTCCCGCCAACGCGACCAAAAACAAAGACTCGAGCAGCTCCAACTTGCTCCTTTTCTCCACGCCACAAAATTAAATTTCTCGTCCAAATCTAACAAATAGACCCCTGAATTCCTTCATGTTTCACATAATAGCCCTATAAATTTCTAAAGTTCATGCTTGTATCATTGTCGACAACCAACTTCCACCATGACAAATCTAATAATTATTGTTTTGTTTGGATAATTAGTTGTTCTAATCAATTACAAAAAATGTATTCTTCGTGATAGAGACTAGTATAATTATTAGAGTGACACACACTTTTTTGTAATATATAAGTGATTTCGACATAACCACTACGCATATATTTATATTTGGATAAATATCATATCAATTCAATGCCTATCCAATCTGATTAAGAAGACAATAAGAATATAAACAACACAACGTACTTAACCTTCTCTTTATATATAAAAAAAAAAAGGTTCATTCTAAGGCTTCCAACGGTGAATAAGATTGTGATTCCGCAAAATTGGACGGTTGATAAATATAAATAAACCTATGACATTAGCAAATTCGATATATAAAGAAATATTTAATACACTGTTTACAAAAAAAGACATTCAAAATAGATAATAAATTTGAGGTGAAAAGCAATTTCATGTGCTGTTAAATTTTCTTTTCCTTAAAATTGGAGTAACACTTAGGTGGAACCGGACAGCCTCGAGTGGCTACATTGTGTGAAGTCCAGCGAGTGATCTTAGCTTCTCGCAGAGTATGAACGAGAATACGTGATCATCGTTTCTGGCCCCAGCCGTGCAAAAATCGCAAAGCCTCTGTGTGTCAATAACAAAACATTATTTTATCAATTAACTGTTTCTAATATACTCAAGAAATGGTAACTTTTTGTCTAACCCTTTGTAAAGTGCCAGAGGTCCTTCTTTGCGAACAACCTGGACAGATATAGAACATTAACGTTCAACACAAGTAACTTCCAGTGATAATATATATTAAAATGTATTTTACATTACCTTGAAACCACAGTGACTGTAGATTCTGGAGCTTTCGGAGTCTTGCTGGAGCATCAAGCGGGTTTTAATCATGTCCATGGGCGCAGTTATCAGCGTGCTTACTACACATGCAACCACACTTAACTTCATTCATCAAGTGCTAGAGTAAGTTAATTTCTGCACATTTATCTGATTATGTTGCAGTATAAATGGGTAATGGTTGTTAAACTTTTACCAAAAAAAAAAAAACCTTTGACTACAAATGAAGATGAAATCTGTTGGGCTTCTTCCAAATCCATGTTCATGTCCAATTCTTTCGTGAATTGATTAGTACGATATTGTCCATTTTAGATTCGAAGGTAAAGTCCGCATGGATTTGGTTTTGGACTCCTTCCCAAAATATTTCATGCTAATCAGAGTTGGACATCCTTTTATATAGAAAACATTATTTGTCTAAACTTCTAATGTGGGACTTTGTTTGCATTCACAACAAACCTCTCTCAAACCAAATACCACATAAACTCTTGATCTCCAACCTCCAGCGAAACCTGGCACACATTTTGTACCAACGTAATCGCGAACAAGACTCTTCACTTAACCCTTGTTACACCATTAGGATTTATTCACCTAACCCTTGCAGCACCATTAAGCCATTCACCGCCTAATCCTTGCAGCACCGTTAGGAATATCCACCTAATCTTTGTATCATCGTTAGGGAGAAACTTTTGATATAAGTCTCCGGCCCTTAATCGCGAAGTCATCTTGAGGATCCTCCTCCCACAACCGAAGCTTCTAGAATCTTTGATAGTGTCTGCTTAAAGATAGCAAACATGTTGTCCCATCCCGAACCGCAACAGGATTTTCTTCAAGCGGGTCACAGCGGATCAGGTCCGCGCCGGCTGTGGACTCTGGAATGGCTGCCAAAACCCATCCCGCTATATGTACAAGCCTTTGCGGGTCAACCCGCAGACATGTGATAATACACGCAACAAAACTCTTAAGGCCACTCCAAAACGCTTCAGGCCACTCTGGGACATGATTCAAGTCATCGATTCAACTGGACATAATTCATCAGTCACTAATTTACTTATTTTTTATTCAAAACAATAGTTGTAGTTATTTTTGTCACACCCAAAACATATTAAGATACAAAGAACAGATAATTGCAGAAGATATTTTTCATTATCTTATCACTCATAAGTTCATAACCAATACTTTACTTTGGTGAATCCAAAAATTAAATAAAACCAAACACCAAATCAAAACTGTCAATCCCAATTGAATAAAAAGAGAAAATCAAATCAAAACACTGACAAAGCTCGAATCGTCATCGCTGGAGTTGGAGTCGTCATCGCCAGAGTTAGAGTTGTCATCGCCAGAGCTCGAATCTTCATCACCGAAGCTCTAATCATCATCGCCGGAGCTCCTTACATTTTCTTGGGGGAAGTTACATGAATCGTCTTCTTTCACTCTATTTCTCAATTTTTTCAGGTAAAAAAAGAAATGAAGAAAAAATGCAGGTCCTTGTAATCCCGCATGACCCATTTCGACCCATCTTGCAAAAAAGCCAGTTCTGAAAAGACCCATCCCGCGAAACCCACAAATTTATGAGACTAGAAAACCTCATCCCAACACCGTCCCGCGACAGTCCTTTACGGGCTAGGCCCACGGTCCAGGTCCATGATTGTCATCTCTATCACTGCTACGTACCCTCTCTTCCCATCGATGGTGGATCATTTCAAACTTGAAGGGTATTTTGGTCTTCTTGCAGTATTTTTTTGTCATACCGGCTCTGATACCAATTGTTGAGATTTGTCCAAGCCCATGTCAAATTCTTTCGTGAATGATTAGTACGATATTGTCCACTTTGATCCCGAAGATAAAGCCCGCATGGATTTGGTTTTGGGATCCTTTCCAAAAGGTCTCGTGCTTATCAGACTCAGACATCCCTTTATATACTAGACATTATTTGTCTAAACTTCCAATGTGAGACTTTTTTGCATTCATAACAAAACCCTTCTTCCAAAGATGTTCGTTTAACCAGAATCTACAGTCACAAGAAACTTTTAGGTGGTGGAATGTTTTTTTTTGACAAAGGGATGCTGGAATGTTAAAAAGCAGTAGTCTAGTCTTAGAATAGGACTCACTTTGTTTCGTCGTATGTTGCAAGCTGAGAGGCAGTTAGTGTTGCAGCAAGCTCTAACCATGGCAGGACCTGCTTTAGGGACTATCTTCACACTA